TTGTTTTTTTAAAAAGATTTCATTGGATTTCCTTATTTTATTTGTGTGTATATGGCAAGGGGCACACCCATCCCATGAAACTCGTGCAGAAGTCAGAGGACAACTTGCAGGAGTCAGTTCTCTCTCTGAACCTATGGACCCGAGGTTTGAACTTGGGTTATCAGCCTTGTGGAACTTACCTTTCCCAGATGAGCCTTCTCGCCAGCCTTAAAGTTGGATTTTGGTGGGAAGCAACAAATCCAGCTTAGAGATGATTTGTTTTGGTTTTTGGTTTTTTTCTCTGCCTGTCCTGGAACTCACTCTGTAGACCAGGCTGGCCTCAAACTCACAGAGATCTGCCTGCCTCTGCCTCTGAGTGCTGAGATTAAAGGAAGGCATGTGCCTCCATTGCCTGGCTAGACATGATTTTTTATGGTGATGGCAAGACTTAACAAAACTGTTCAGTAGTTACATGAAAAGATATTTGCTTAAAATGTGTGGAACACCAAAACCACAGAGGCACAAGGAAGGGTAACGGTAGGGTTCCAGTTTGAGAGCATTTGCTTAGAATGGCAAGTTTGGTGTCTTGGCACCTGTGCAAACCAATTAAAGATGCCTTGGACCAGGCGAGAGCCCATTCCTCATGTCCCAGTGTATCCCAGGAGGAAGCCCCGACCACTTCATTCTGTGGACTCAAAGCCTGGGAAAGTGGCTTGCTTTTGCTCCAGATCCATCTTCATCTCTGCTTGGGACAATGCCAGGTTAACCTCGTCACTGGTTGTCACTGGTTATGTCAGGTACACAGTTTACTTCTTTGTCCTTACCTCTCTGTGGTTCTAGGGATGAGAACCAGGACATTGATCATTCCGGGTAAGCTCTCTGTCTCTAATCTACACCCCCAGCTCTCTCTATCTGTGCTCCTTTTTAGCCATTGCAGTAATGCATTCCAGCTAAAGGAGCAATGGGGTAATTCAGAAATAACAGCGGCAGGCATTTGGAATGCATGTGATTTCAGCATATTCTCTAAATTTTACTAGAACTATCTTTACGCATCTACTTAATTCATCTTTCTGTTTTCCATTGACATATGGAGGTACTCCTACGATGATTTAAAGTTTTCCTTTTTAAAAATCTTTCTGGGATTTCCAAATCTCTAATCTCCACTGATTAGCCTCCCCCTCCCCCGCCCACCGCCATGGGGAAGAATATGATACAGTTTAAAGAGATTTGGACTACAAATGAGTAAATGAAAGATTCTCAGGACATTGATAATGATGGGGATAACTATTCAGTCTCCAAATGATCTCATCAGACACCGGGGTAGTTTTCAAAACATCCCATAACGAGGTAGCAAACCTCTAATCGGAATTCCCCACTGATAATGGCGGGGATGTTGTGGGAAAATGACTCTAGGTTATTGGAATGTGTAGGCCGGGTGTGAGGCAGCCCATGAATGCCATCAGTGAGCACAGTAGTGCTTTCTTTACTTGGGTTTGTTTGCAGTTGGAAAAAGTTAGGATTTTTGTTTGTTTGTTCTGCACGTGAGATTTAATCTGGAAATCGTTTGTAAATACTTGTTTTCTTAGAAATTGTACACATAGACCAAACTAATTATGAACTGCATTCCAGCTATGTCTCAGTATTAAGTCACTGAGCCTAAAGCAGGGTAGCCCACAGAAGAAGCCAGGCCACAATGGACAGGTTTCACTGTTACCTGGCCTTGGGGCAGCATACTTCTCAAAGTTATCCCTAGATGTTCTCAGCCTCTTCCCTTTTTCTAGCTTCCATCCATCTCTGCCACCTTAAAAGATTGTTCTTCTGGAGGTCACCTGTCATCTCCCAAACCAAACGACACTTCATGTCAACTCTCCTGGCTTTTCCACAGCATCCTACAGAGGTTGCCACACTTCTGGAAGCATCGTTTCCACATCAGGGCTGTCACATCTGCAGCTGTTCTGTTCCTCTCTGGATTTTCCTTCTTGATCTTCTTGTTGGATTCTTGTTCTGTTTAACCTGGAAATATGTCAGCATCTCAGTGATAAGTCTTGGAACTACATCTTTGCACTCATTACTTTCTCCCTAGGTGACTTTATATATTCTCATGGCTTTCAGCATCAGTTATAATCCTTATGCCGGAGATGTCCAAGTCATCACCATATGCCCCACTCTCCCTCAGCCCAAGGCTCAGATGTCCAACTGTTGTTGATATCTCTTTATGTGCCAAATAGGAAGCTCAGTTTTCCTTATTTATTTACTTAATTTTTACATTATCAGGGCTGAACTCACAGTCTCACGAATGCTCTACCACTGACCTATCTTCCCCAGCCCCAGAAACTCAAATTTAATACATCTAAAACAGAGCTTCTGGTTCCTTAAAATCTGGTCCTTCTCCTTGACTCAACCCCCAGACTGGCAGTCATGCATGACACCTCCCCACCACCCCACCCCACCCCCACCCCACCCGTCTCATGAACTGTATCCAATCATTCACCAAAGCCTGGCCACTTTTACCCTAAAAATTACATCTCAAATCTTCTTACCATCTTGATTGATTTCCTCCAAACCAAAAGCATCCCTGATCTTGCAACAGCCTTTCCTAGTTTCTCGTTCTGCCTTTTAGGCACCAGAGTCTGTTCTTGGCACAGGAAGCAGAGACAGCCCACGTGAGTGTGTTTATTAGAGAGATTTTCAAAGAGTACAGCAGGACAGGGATTGTTTACCTGTCACTCAGCTTTAATGGTTATTAGTTAAGTTGTGCCAGTTTGTTTCATCAATAACTCATCCATTTCCCTGTCTTCTGTATTTGACAGTCATCATTTTAGCCTGAAATATATACCTCTAAAAGGACACTTTAAAATGTGACCACATGATCATTAGGATATCTGAAATTAATCATCCATTATTAATATTGTATGTGTATGTATGTTTTGCCTGAATGTATGTCTGTGTAACATGTTCTGTGCCTGGCGCCCATGGTGGCCAGAAGAGGGCACTGGATCCTCTGGCTTTTAGTTAGAGATGTTTGCTAGCTGCCATGTAGGTGCTGGAAATTGAGTATGAGTCTGGAAGAGCAGCCAGCCCTCTTTACCACTGAGCCATCACTCCAGCCGGAATAATTTCTTAACACAATTGAATACATTAGAAGTATGTTTCTGAATGTAGATATCATTATTTTAATTTTTATTATTTTTTGAGACCTCTCCTTGTGAAGCTGACCTTAGACATTCGATTCTTGTGCATTAACCTCCCACATGATCAGATTACAGTCAGGTGCTACCAGAACTGACTTAAGGTCATACTTTTATCACTTATCATTTTCACTGTTTGTTTAAGTAAAGATCCCAATAAAGTCCACATCCTACCACTGGCTGATAGGCCTCTGTGTATCCATCCATGAAGTTCTAGAGCTCTGCCTCATGTGATCTCTCACTTGCTTACTTGGTTTCTTCCCCCTTACAACTTACCTGTTGAAGACCATGGGGTTGGCTTGGGTCCTGAGAATGGGGGGTCTAGATACGGCCTATTGCATTTCTGTATATAATACAGCTTCCCCCCTCCCCAACACTGAAACTGCTAACATAGCCTGATGGGTGACAGTATGCTCTTCCACTATCAGGGATCTGTTACACAGAGAAACCTTGTCTCAGAAAAAAAAACAACGAAACAAAAACAAACAAACAAAATAAGGAAATGAATGAACTAAACAGGAAGGGGATGGGAAAGAAGATGAATGTAAATGTGGTCCCTTTGTGCCATCTTAAGACAAAAATAAACATCCTATTTGAGTTTTTAAAAATAGACTTTGGATTGGAACAATACGATGGCTTTCTCATAGAAGGCTTCAGGAAATGTCTGCCTAGAGGTGGAGATATTTTCTTCCCATTGTCTGAAAAGAGACTGACGAGGTTTCTTAAGCAGTCATGCAGCCCTCCGGCATTCAAGGTTTTTAGTGCATCTCAGATTCAGTGGGACTTTATCACACCAGCCCTCATTTTGCCTTTTGTTTTGTTTTACTGAAACAGGGTCTCACTAAGTTTCATAGGCTGGCCTTGAACTCACGGTACAGCAGAGGCATGTTTTGCACGTGTGATCCTCCTGCTTTAGAGCTATGATTACAAGCTTGGATCACCACCAACCAGGCCTGTTGACTTTTTAACTTTAGATAAAAACCCCACGTAGCCCCTCTTTCCCAGCCCATTCCCCATACACACTGAGAGTTTCACTCTAAAGTAACTCAGACTGATTGGATATAACAGCCTTTTAAGCTTTTCTAATTCACCTTCCAGACTCCAGAAATAACCAGCCCAGCTCAGCCTGCACAGCAATGATCATTTATTTATGACTGGGTCTTACTATTTAGCCCAGGCTAGCCTCAAACTACTAATTCTCCTGCCCCTGCTAGGCGCTGGGATTACTGACTGGTACCACCAAACTGGGTGGAGGCGTGTGTTTTTAACGAAGGTGGGGAGGTTGGAGAGGACATGAATGCGTATTTTAAATGAGTATTTTAAATCTTTCAAGGGTTGGGCGTGTTTTATCTCGGTTATGGACGTGTAGAAAATGCACTCTGCCCTAGCCACGTAAAGTGGGAGCCTGACTTGAGACTAATCAGGGAAATGACCGGCCCACACTCTTGTAAAAATCTTAATGTACCGTGAGAAACCGCTCAGCGCTGGCCGACTTACCGTGTTCACGTTTGCCTTGACCTTACTGAATCATGGAAAGCGGCTCCTAAGAGGGAAGGCTTTTTTTTTTTTTTTTTCAATTTCCTGCACGATTACTCAGGTGGCTTTTCCTGTTTCTTCTCTCCCTTTTGGACCCGGGTCCTGTAATTACTATTGCAGAGGACCTGGAAGGATGCCCTGCTCTCTCGGCACGGTCTCCTCCGCTCCCTCCCCCCCCCCCCCCCCCCCCTTTTTTCTCCTTCTGGCCCCGCCTCCGCCGCGCAGCCCTTAGCCAGCAGCTAGACAGCTGTGTTCAATCAGAAACCACTTACAACTCCAGACCATTCAAAGCGGGGGGAAACTTCGGCGTGAAGTGCCGCTCGGCTCCGGCTCTCTCCAGCTTTTTCCTGCCGGGAACCGGAGGCACGGATCCTCCTCGCCCCACTGCCCAGGCTTCTCCCGGAGGGTGCCGGAGCTCTGCTGGGCGCCGGCGCGAGCTGCTGCCCGCCCGCCGGGTAATGGGGATCTGCGCGGTGCCGTAGGAGGCTCGAGGCGGCGCGGAGGGTGGCATCGCCCCGGGACTCCGCGGCGGGCGCGCGGGCGGGTCAGGGCGCCGGCTCGGCCGCTGCAGCTGCTGCGAGCAAGCGCAACCTCCTTGCCCAGCCTCGCGCGGCTATGGCTCGCTGGTGAGATTCCAGCGGGACTTTCCGTGTCGAGCTTCTGCATCCTCCCTCGGCCTCGCCGCTGTCCTGGATGAAAATGGCTGTCTAGACTGAAATGTGCCGGCGGGGAGCAAGCCCAGGCTATCCAGCCTAAGCCAGGCTCCAACGCTCCGAGGTCTGGGGACGAGCCTGGCTCTGAAAAGTGCAGGCATGAATTCTGGAGTTGCGGTGAAATATGGCAACGACTCCTCAGCCGAGCTGAGCGAGGTAAGGAACTGCTTGAGGTCCGGAGCTCGGGTTTCGGTACCTGGGCTTCCCGCATCACCCCTGGTCTTTCCCTACCCCACCCTTCGTGATCCCAGGCTGGAAGCGTCGCAACTGAAGATGGATGGATTTTTCTGGATCTTGTTTTAACTTGTGCTACTCAGGATCCGACCTGAACTGGCTTTATATTTCACTCTGATCCGAGTAGCTTAGAAAAGAAACAGCTCTCTCCCTGAGCCACCTAGGCGTTTTATTTCCAAGAGTCTAGACCCCAGTCTCTTCACTACCGCCTCCTCTATTTATGTGCTACATTCCTTGTGGCAGTCGGAACGCCGAGTTTAAAGCCTCAGTCACTAATTTGGTGGGGCTGGGGCGGTGGTTGTGCTGGAAACCGGGAAAGGACGGATTATTGAATCTCTCACTTGGCGCCCACGTGTGCTGCGTTTGCTAGGGTTCAGGCAAGGTGGTCTCTTCCTGGGTAGAGATGAATGACCTGCACGAGGGAGGGGTGTAGGGGGAGGAAGCACATCAAAGCTGCTTGGAACTTTGTTTCCTGCCAGGGTCTGGACTCCTGTGTCTTTGAGGCCACATTTGCAATTCCTGGGCTTGCACTGAAGGGTTTGAGACCCGCTTTGAAATTATATCTGCATCAAACAGTATGCAAATATGTGAGCAGGAAGGTGCTCAGAGCCACGTTTTGGGGGGAAATAGTTGTAGGGATGTTTGACCCAATGAAATATATGAAAAGTGGTGGGAAAGCTATAAAACCAGGTGTTCAGGGGATGGGAGAGGCTCTGTGTTCTTGCTTCGGGCCCTTTGGAGAATCCCTCTTCACACCTTGCCCGGGTTTGGTGGTCCAAGTCTCAAAGGTCATCTGTGCCGCTTAAAAGTACGACTGAAAAGAGGAAGGGGGACCAGAGGAAGGAAATGAAAATGAGTGGGAGGCAAGCATTGGTGACGTCAGAAAATAAGGGAAAAAATGAAAGGATGCCACTTTTGCAGAGGGGCTGTTGAGGAAAATCCAGGAATGGGCGCGGTAACTCCAGCGGGCTGTGGCAGTGACGGAGAGCCCTGCTTGGCGCCCTGTATCATGACTCTTCTTCTTGCACTGGCATGAAATAGCATTTGAGGAGTTAGTTGTATGAAGCAGAGAGTTCTCCTAACTCACCATGTTTACTTACCCTCCTGTTGTGTGAATGGCTGGAAAAAATGCTTAGTGAGGGTGGAATTTTCAGATGGAAGTGAGAGGGCTGGAAGGCACGAAGGACTAGGTGAGTTTTTGCCCATTTTGTGTTTAGGGCAAGGTCTGAGCTAGAACCCAGAGTCATGCTTCATAACTAACCCATCCAAGAAGCACTTAATAACCATTCAATAATCGAAAACCACTAATGGTTATCTCCCGGCAAGGGTCTTTGACAGGCCCCTTTGGTTCAGCCTCTCTCAGGTAGCCACTTTCATTCTGTCACCTGAAGAGACTTTGATGACAGCAAGGAACAGTGCCAGTGGCTGGAATGCAGAACGGAGATGTGGTTTACTTGAATAGCAGTAGCATTCCAGTGAGTGCCTATCAAGAGCTCAGACAGAGAGTTTGGGACACTGGAGCTGGAAGAAAGCTGCCCATTCCTGGCCTACCTGTATTAATTCATCCTTGTAAAGTCTGTGACCAAATGAAAGAATTGAGGGTGCCCTGTGGTCTTGCACTGGCCGGAGAAATCGGATTTGAGATTACATGGCATGTTCTTGTCCCGTAGGACATCAAGGTTCCCGGTCAACAGCACTCAGATCACCAGAGTTCCCACTCTTGTCCTCAATCTGCGTCCATTCAGTTTTTCACTTTCTCTAGAACCAGTTGTGGTTCCCATGGTTTAGTTGTTGTTCTATCTCCGTCTCTACCATCCGTGTTTTCCTGAAGGTTATATAGTTGCAATAGCCAATCGAGGAGATTATTTTCACTTTTGTATTTATTTAGAGAGTTGGTAGTGCAAGATGTGTGTGGTTCATTCCTATGAACCCTGAATGGCAGTTTAATTTATCTGAATAACTGCTCTGGCAGTGATCCTTTCTGTAATATCCATAGATCTAAATATGCTTATTTGTATTTCTCGCACTGAGTCTTTGGTATAGTTTCTTCTCTCTCTCTCCCTCTTTCTCTGTCTCTCTGTCTGTCTTTGTCTGTCTGTCTGTCTGTCTGTCTGTCTGTCTCTCTCTCTCTCTCTCTCTCTCTCTCTCTCTCTCTCTCTCGTGTGTGTGTGTGTGTGTGTGTG